GTGTGTGTGTGTGTGTGTGTGTGTGTGTGTGTCACTGATAACCCCATCCTTAGGTGATATTTAACACTGAAATAATTCCAAGCTGAGGGGGTGTGTGTGTGTGTGTTTGATCAGTTGAGGGAGTGGTGATTCAGGATAGCATTTTCACCTCCCGTGAGGGGGACTGGCTTTGATTCCTGTCTGATGTCCCTCGAGCCCAGCCACCCCCTGTCCATCAGTAGAGCTTTGTGTGATTCCAAACAGCTTTCACTGGAGTTTCCAGACTAAGACACTTGGGAGAAAGGCCTGGTGATATATTTCTGAAGATCAGCCGGTGGGAACCCTGTGGACCCTTGTAGTTTGATTGACAACTGAACGTGAGTTGTAGGGATAATGTAAGACAGGGCACTGTGTTCCTTTATGCGTGAGGTTGGCATGATTTGGGGGTCAACTTGACAGCAGCTGTTCTGCAAACTGAAATTCCCAGCTCCATACAAGATGACCCTGGACCACCCAGCTCAAAGTGTAAAAGCCCAGGTTGGCATCAGCCAGCACCTGACTCAGAACCACAGGGTCCCGCTGGCTGTGTGATGGCGCGTGAGGCATTACCCTCTCTGAGCTCTTCTATAAAATACAGGATCAGCTTTACCTGTCAGAAATAGTGCAGCCACACAGGCCCCTGCTCAGAAGGAAAGGGGGCTTCGTTTAACACTCTGTTCTTCTCAGAAACGCTGATGTGTCAGCAGTTATAGACTGGGACTGCCGACTGGAAGTTTGCCGGTTAAGACTCTCCAGCCGTTGGAGATGGGCAGAAAGATAGAGCAGTCTGATTCTGTAAAGATAAACAGCTTTGTAAGCCGGGCAGATCACTTCTGCCCGAGGGGGCTTCTGGGAGTTGGAATCAGCTAAACATGGAGGGAGTGGGTTGTTTTGGGGAATTTTGTTTGATTTTTGTCTCATCATCTCAAAATTCTTCATAGTTTTTGCACAAGAGTGTCTGTCTGTCTCCATTTTTTTCACCGAGCCCTGTGAATTATATAGGCATCTGTTGGTCCAGTCAGGAAGCTCAGATGACGTGGTCTGTATGTAGGGTGTTGCTAACCCAAACTTACCACCTCTCTGGTGGTTCAAATCCACTTGTAGTTCTTTGCGAGAAAGACGAGCCGTTTCCTCCTGTGCAGTTGACAGTTTGGCAAAACCCAGAGGATTGTCAGCTGTGAGTTGGCTCTGACTTGTTGGCAGGAAGGGATGATGAATTCAGGAGAAAGGCCACTTGCTGACCCTGGGCAGAGGCCTTGCCCAGTACAAGCCACTCAGTCATACAGCTGTGTACTATGCAACCTCCCCAGAGGACAAACATCCCACAACATAAACCCTGCCTAGTCCTTCACTGATGGGATGAAGGCAGTCCCCAGGGCCCTGGACATCTGGACACTCTCTGTCCATTAGTCCAGCTGGAAGGAGAGAGGGCATGACCATTTGGGGAACGTACTTGCCCTGCCTGAGCCTCTGGCCTCTCACCAGCTCATCGCCTGGGAGCCGGAGCAGGAAGAGGAGGTCACCATGGTGACCGCCCGGCCCAACTTTCAAGACAGCATCCACGTGGGCTTCGTGTCCGGCCTAAAGAAGTTCACTGAGTACTTCACCTCGGTGCTGTGTTTTACCACCCCTGGAGATGGGCCCCGCAGCACCCCCCAGCTGGTGCGCACCCACGAAGATGGTAGGCGCTCCCTACCCCCTGCTCTCTCCGCCCCACCCTTTCCCTAGGCACCTACCCACCCTCCCAGGGGCAGGCTGGGCACCTGCATGCTAGCCTCATCTCTGTCCCACCCTGTGCCTGACCCTGATGCCCCAGGACCAGGCAGGCTGTCTGGCAGGAGGGAGGCCATCTGACAGGTGGGAATCTGTCTCCCTTTGGCTCTGACTGACATTTGGTGGGGTGGGGTTCTCTGGGGCACAGTGCCTGGACCTGTGGGACACCTGAGCTTCAATGAGATCCTGGACACGTCGCTGAAGGTCAGCTGGCAAGAGCCGGGGGAGAAGAACGGTGTCCTCACAGGTAATGTCTGGGGGCTGAGGTCATCACGGCCCCTCCCCGTCTGCTGGCTGGTTCCTGGCCAGACCTCCCAGCCCACTGCCCCTTCTTAGAAGCACCAGTTGGCCCTTGGGCATCATGGCTTTGAACTGCACAAGTCCACTTACACACGGATTTCTTTTCAGTCATCCCATTAACCATCACCAAGGGAGCATTTGTCTCCCCAGTTATAGTAAATAGTGATCGTGTGGGGTTCAGTACCTTAAACCTTGAATAATAGCATGGCCCAGGGAGCTCTGGTGGCTCAGTAGTAAGGAGCTGCACTGGCAACCTAAAGGCACGCGGTTTGAATCCACCAGCTGCTCCGTGAGAGAAAGATGGGTCGTCGGCTCCCATGCGATTTTCTGCCTCTGAAAATCCACTGGAGGGTCACCTGTGAGTCAGTTCTGACTCAACGGGACACAAAAGCAAACACCTGTACAAAATGCCTCTGATAATGCCAGAAGCACTCCCAAGAAGCAGCGGAAATTCCAGTGACATTCCAAGAAAAAGCTGAAGGGCTTGCTGTGTGCTGGGGAGTGAGGCTTGCCGCTGTGGTTGTGCATAATCTCAGGACAAATGAATCCCCCTAAAGGCCACTGAAAACAGAGAAGGAAAACCACGGAGCGGCGGCACTGCCCACCCGGCTTCTGAAACCTGCTGGAGGGTCAGCTGTGAGTCGGTGCCCGTTTGATGCCGCGTGACAGCAGCCACTTTGCAGACTGCACCTTTAATGTGGACGCAGGATGCGGTACACCGAGCATACAAAGTGTGTGTGGGTGGACTTGCTGCCCCAGTGGGGTTTCTGATCCACCGTAGGCTAGCAGTAGTTAAGGTCTGGGGGAGGCAGAAGTTATAGGATGTTTTTTGGTGTTTTTTTTTTAACTGCATGAGTGTTAGTGTCCCTGTGTCCCCGTGTTGTTCAAGGGTCAACTGGACTTGGAAAAGTTTCTCAGCCCCTCAGCTCTGCAGCCCACTCCAGAGTGTCTGTCTGCCCCTAGGTCCTCAGCCACAAGTGGCCACTGTGGCTTCTCGGTTGCTCCTGCAGCCACCTCCCAGTGGCAGCATCCACTGAGGTCACACATGCTGCCCCAGGCATGGTGCTGGAAGCCCCCACCTGCCTCAACCCCATTTCCCCCTCCCTCACCTGACGCCTGCAGATGCAAGGAGTTTTAGGAGGAGCCCAGAGAGAGCGGGGATGGTAACAGCCAAGTCCATGCCACACTGGGGAATGGGGAGAGGTTCTGTGGTGGCCGTTTGGATCCTCTGAAAGTGCCTCAGAAGAAAGGCCTGGCAACTCACTTCTTTTTTTTTTTTACTTTTTTCTTTCTTTTAATAATTTTAACGAGCATTTACAGAGATCTTGGATTTCCATTCATTCATTGCTGCACTTCTCTCCCCGCCCATCCCCCCCCAGTTTGCTCCTCTCTTTCAAAAGTAAAAGAGACACTCCTTCCCTAGTACACAATCCCCCTGCACCCTTTTTTACTTTTTTTAAATTAATTTTAGTGGAAGTTTACAGAGACTTAGGATTTCCAATCATTCATTGTTGCACTTTTCTTCCTGCCCACCCTCTCGCCCCCCAAATCACTCTTCTCCTTGAAAAGAAAAGGAAAAACTCTTTCATTGTTATGCAATCCCTCCCCCCAAGTCCACTCCACTATGCAGCCTTCACTCTGGACTCCTGTCATGACAATAATACTCAATCATATGTCCCTTTTAAACTGTTTCCCTCATCTGTTTGAATGCAGTATACATCATTCCTCCCCTCCTTTTCTGTCTTCCCTCAACCCTGATGTCAGTCCTGTTTTACAACAGTGGCTCTGTGCAATATTTGTCCTTTTGTGACTGAGATACTTCATTCAGCATAATGTCCTCCAGGGTCATTCATTTTGTTTAATTCATGAGTTCCTTGTTTTTCAATCAGCGTAGTATTCCATTTTGTGGATATACCAGAGCTTTTCTATCCGTTCATTTGTTGATGGGCACTGGGTTGTTTCCAGCTCTTTGCTGTTGTGAACAAAGCCACAGTAAACACGGGTGTGCGTGGCAACTCACTTCTAAAAAGCTAGCTCCGTGCGAACCTTCTGGGGCGCAGCTCTCCCCTGATGCCCACGGAACTGCAGTGCTCATGGTCAGCTCCACCTCTGCCTTGGTGTTCGTTTCCAGGGTACCGGATCTCCTGGGAAGAGTATAATCGGACCAACACCCGCGTGACCCACTACCTGCCTAACGTGACCCTGGAGTACCGGGTCACGGGTCTCACCGCTCTCACCACCTACACCATCGAGGTGGCGGCCATGACCTCGAAGGGCCAGGGCCAGGTGTCTGCCTCCACCATCTCCTCTGGGGTGCCTCCAGGTAGGGGCCCTGGGTTGGGGCGGGGCTCATGGCCCTGTCTGCTCTCCTGACCCGGATCCGTGCGAACAGCCCCTTCTATGTCAGGAATATTGGCCTCCTCCCTCCCTCACCAACTCTCTCTTGCCCCAGAACAGGCCATGATTCCAGACTCCACAGACTCCCTGTTGCTCCTTCTCACACCCCTGCTAAGAGCATGGACCACTTGAGGGCCTGCCCTGGGCTCATTCACCCCACCATCCCTCCCTCCGTCCCCAAACCACATCGGGTACCACAGCAGGGGGCAATCAGTGATTCAGGAGAATCTTCACTGTCCCCAGGAAGTCCGAGCTGAACTCTGGCCAGTGTCAGGGTTGGCTGAGAGGTGGCAGCCTATGGAGGGAACAGCCCCAGGCTGGACGTACAAGGGTGTGCTGAGGGCTGGTCGCAGCTCTGTGTCAGCCAAGCTCTGTGACGTCGAATCAGGCAGGAGGCCGCCCTGTGCCTCAGCCTGCCCATCTGTAAAATGGAGATGAACCCTAAGACAGGGTGGTCACATCTGGATCAGCACAGTTCTGAGGCCTGCCCAGCACCCCGTCCCTGCCCACTTGATGGTGAAGGCCAAGGTCAACCTGAAAGATACAGTAGCAAGGCCCACAGATATTTATGTCTTGCTCATTGAGCCTGGGGCTCAGAGCTTCACAGACATTAGCTCATGTCATGCTCACAGCCACCTGAGCTAGGTGTCAGTGGTGTCAGCAGAAGAGGCCACGACACGCAGAAAGGCCAGCTGGCTGCCCCAGCAACACAGCCTGTCGATGGCAGAGGGGACTCCAACCCCAGCAGAACAGCTCTGATCCATACTCTTTCTCTTCACCCTCAGCTCTAAGAAGCCCAGGGTTCCCAGACTAGAAGAGGGGTTACCTCTTAGCTCTGAGGCTCCCTCACCCATTCATTCCTCCTGAGTCTGGCTTAATTTTGTGCAGCCTCCAACTCCTTCATGGTACACCTCAGAAATATCTAGAACCACGAGGAGAGGAAGCTCATGTGTGCCCAGCCTCCCCATGGCCCACCTTGGGGGTACCTCCCCCCCAGCTCTCAGATCTGTCTCAGGCCCCTGACATGGGCACAGCACAGGATGCAGAAACCAAGACCGTTGCTGGGATCAGACTTGGTCTTGTTCCTCCTGGGAAGTTTCTAGAAGTCAGCCTTGGAAGGGAAGGACATGATGGGCACCCCCTGGCCTGGCCAGGAGGGCCTTGTCAGTGTGCAGAGGGGTCTTCTCACCCCATCATCTCCCTTCCTTTCTGTTCTTTCCAGAACTCCCAGGGGCTCCCACCAACCTGGGCATTTCTAACATCGGCCCCCGCTCCGTGACGCTGCAGTTCCGACCTGGTTATGACGGGAAAACCTCCATCTCCCGCTGGCTGGTGGAGGCCCAGGTGAGGCCAGAGGGACCCAGGACCCAGGACCTGGGACCCACCAGGCAGCAGCTCCCAGTCCTGGGCCTGGTCTTCTGAGTACAGCCTGCCCATGTGTTTATACATGTGTTGATTTTCATGTTCCCCTGCAAAGTCAGAGATTTCAAAAACCCTGAGTTCCCCGGACCCTCTGTCACACTTCCCACCTCATCCAAGCGTGCGCTCTCTCTCTCTCTCTCTCTCTCGCTCTCTCTCACACACACACACACACCCTACACCCCTCCGAAGACAGAGAAGCGGTTAGTGACCTGAAAAAAAAACAACACGTTCCCACCTGAAGCCCTTTAAATCCAAGGGTCTCCAAGCTTGGCTGCACCAAGAGCTACCAAAGGGAGAACTCAAAAATCCTACTCCTTGGGTCCTCCTCCCCAAGGTCCTGGTTCTGATTAGACCTAGCCAATCAGCTTGGCTTGGGTTGCAGAAGCACCCTCAGGGAGGGGGTGGGCTGGACGAATCAGCTGGATAATCACAGGCACTGGGGTGCCTCACACGAGCTGCTGGGTGAGTGGGTCTGGCCAGGGCTGGAAGATGTACCCACAACAAGGTCTCTGGAAGGTGCTGATGCAGGCAGGGTCAGGGTCACACCTGAAGGGATGACCCCCTTTAAGGACCTGGGACATGGTGGCCCACTCTCCAGATGAGCCCTGGGATTTGAACCTGCCAACAAGTGGGCAGGGCAGCCCAGTCGCAGCCACGGTGCACATACACGTCTGAGGGTCCCTGGTTTTCCAGGTGGGCGTCGTCGGGGACGGAGAAGAGTGGCTGCTGATTCACCAGCTCCTCAATGAGCCCGACGCCCGCTCCATGCAGGTGCCCGAACTCAACCCCTTCACTTACTACAGGTAACGGGGGGCAGGACACGGAGTGGAGGGGAGGCCCAAGGTGGAGGAGGGCCACCCGGGCAAGGGAAGGGGCTCTGACCTCTTCCCCCCGACCTTCTTACCCCTTCCTCCCTCCCTCCCCAGCTTCCGCATGCGCCAGGTGAACATCGTGGGCACCAGCCCACCCAGCCAGCCTTCTAGAAAGATCCAGACCCTCCAGGCGCCCCCCGACATGGCCCCGGCCAACGTGACCCTGCGCACGGCCAGCGAGACCAGCCTGTGGCTGCGCTGGATGGTGAGGCCCCCTCGGAGGGAGTGGGGTGGGCAGGTGATGGCGCCTTGACCCTCATCACCTGCAAAGGTGTCATCACCTGGGAGCATCAAAGGCTGCACGCTGGGAACACCTGACACCCTTGCTCTTCATGATCTTTGCACCTGGTCAGGTGTCTGATAGTCTAGCCAGGTGAACAGATGCCCCCCACACCTGCAGGGTGAGGGCACGTGTCTTGGGACTTAGTGTCAGTTGGTTGCAGCCTCTGGCCTCTTGAAAAGAGGCAAGTGTGGAACGCTCAGGCTGCTTGTGTCTTTCTTTTTGCCACAAGTGGGTGTCGGCAGAGCAGACTTGCCAGATGAACTGGGGGTCTCTGGCCCACAGTTGGCCAGCATTTGGGCATGCTGGAATTGTAAAACATGGTAGGACCCGAGGGCTGTTTTTCATTGTTTTTGGTGAAACATTCTTCTAGGTCGTATAGCCCTGGTCTGTTCACTTGCTGTACAGAGATAACTTGTGGTTGCTGTGAAGCTGAACAGTGACATTGATGTGTCAAATGCATTAATGGTCACCCATGGTGGACAGTGTTTGGTGGCGCTCCCCGATTAAAATAAGCTTGGAAACAGGAGTGACATCCACTTCTGTCATAGCTTGTCTCCGGAAACCCTATGAACCTGGAGAAAGGATGAAAGTCATGCAGATGTTGAGGACTTTCGTTCATAGGGTCACTATGAGTCGCCTACGACTCGACGGCACTTAACAACTTAGCAACAACATGAGCGTGAAGTTCTAGAAAGTACTATGGAGAAAGACTGCCATGTGCTAGGCATTCTTCTTGTTTCCTTTAACCAGGACCCCTGGTGGTGTAGTTTGTACATATCAGGGTGCTAACCAAAATGACTGTGGTTCGAATCCACCATGGGAGAAAGATGACCAGTCTCCTTCCATAGAGGTTTCAGCCTCAGAAACACGATGGAGGAATCTACTCGACAGCTGTGGCTTGGGTGTGGTTGGGGTATTTCCTATAAAACCACACACACACAGAGTGTCAGCCTGCAGTAAAGTAAAGGGACCTAGTCGCTAGTGAACCATTCCAGTCCATGAATGACCACCCCATGTGTGCAGAAGAGAACTTGCCCTGGGGAGTCTTGATGACTCAGACCTTTGGTAATAAGATCATCGGGCCTTTCTTCCAAAACACATCAGGTTAGGTTTGAACTGCCGACCTTTCAGTCAGGAGTCAAGTCCTTAACCATTTGTCCCACCAGAGTCCTCCACGGGCTTGTGTTGTCTTAATGCACAGCTTAGGAAACAGAGTTTCAGAGAGGTTAGGAACTTGCCTGCAGTCACACAGCTCCCAGGTGGCGGGTCTGGGCTACAGAGGAATGCAGTTCCATCCTGCTAAGCCAGAAAACGCAGGTGTTGCTTCTGAGGCTGCAGAAGGCGTGAAGGGGTCAGACGGAGAGGTGGGTTGTTCCACTCAGCTGACCCTGCCCGCAGGAATAATAGCCACATTCTCTTATTTGATCACATATTTATAAAAATAATGGAATGCAGGGAGCTCTGTTGGCCTAGTGGCAAGAAGCTGCACTGTAATACTAGAGGAACATGGTTCGAATCCACCAGACGCTCTACTGGAGAAGGAGGGACAATCTCCTCCTGTACCATTCAGATCTGATGTGATGCTACACACACACACACACACATACACACACACACACACACAAAATAATAATAAAATTTTTTAAAACATTTAAAAAAATAATGGAATGCTTCACAAGTTTGCACGTCCTTACTCAGGGCCCATGCTAATCTCTGTGTCATTCCGATTTTAGTACAGGTGACGCTGAAGCGAGCATAATAGTCACGTTATTGGGGCCTCCTGTTCTGTGGGAAGGAGCCCTAGTGGCACCGTGGATTGAACATTAGACTGCTGAGTTAATGGTCAGTGGTTCTGACCCACCAGCCGGCCCATAGGAGGACGATCAGGCAGTCTACGTCCGGAAAGGAATTGCGCCCTCGGAATCCTCACACTCAGTTCTGCCCTGTCCTGTCGGGTCAACAGTGGATTTGGGATATTGTCTCTCTGTTTTAATTTTTGCAGATAGGAGCCTTGTTAGCGCAACAGTTAAGTGTTCTGCTGCTAACCAAAAGGTCAGCAGTTCAAACACACCAGCAGCATCACGGGAGAAAAGGCCCGGTGAGCCATGCTCTAAAAAAAAGACAGCCTAGGAAACCGAGGGGGCCAATGACCTGGGTTGTCTGTGAGTCCAAATCACCCTGTAATCTTCACGGGAGCAGACCACCACAACTTCTGTCCCAACGAGCAGCTGGTGGATTTGAACGGCTGACCTTAAAGTTAGTGGCTGAATGCTTCACCGCTGTGCCACCAGGGAGGGCTCTGATTGGAGGACTTGGGAGGTGCCTGGCACTATCAGCCCTGGATTAACAGCAGACATAAATATGGCTCCCCTTCCGGAGCGCCAGCCCCCCACCCCCACCCCACCCTGCCCCACCAGCAGCACTGACTTGACTCCGCCCCATAGCTGTGGGGTCCCAGGGTGCCCCGCGTGCACACACAGCCCCTGTGACCACCCTCTCCTCCCTGCCCGTCCTCCTCTTGGCTCAGCTCTGCTCCCCCAGGTGGACTCCCCCTCCCCCCTTCCTCTCACTGTAAGAATTTTAAATACTGAGAGATTTGACTGACTCCAGAGGCCTGAAGGGGGCATGAAGAGGCAGTAGCTGCCCTGCCCAGGAACCCAGGCACCTCTCACCCCGCTAATGCATCCTCTCCGCTAACTTCCCTTAGCAGGTGCGAGAGCATGCCGTCAACCTGGCCCTGCTCCCGGCCATCGATCGCTGTCCTAATGGTCTCTAGTCCATTTCACTAAGTGTCTCTGGGAACTGGGGCTGGGAGCGAGAGGGTCAGGCCCGGCTGCCTCGGAGGAACAGGAGAAAGTGGGTCAGGATATAGGGAGCATGTTTGCCATGGAGCATGTGCCCAGGATGGACGAATGAGGTGGAGGCTGCGGGTACCCCAGTTCAAGCTCCATCACCTTCACCTTGAGGCCAGGCTCTGGGCCCATATCTGCCTGCAGTCACAGACTGCCACCTCTGTGCACATCCCTGCTGCGTAGCTGCACGGCTCCATCCCAGAATGCTTGAATCAGTGCTCACAGCCTCTCCTGCCCAGGCACAAGGCTCAGGAAAAGGATGTGTGCTTTCTCTTTGCTGAGACACAAAGAGCTTGAAAGAGGGTAGAGGCGGAGCAGGAAAGACTGAAGTCAGCTGGGAGGAAGAACTTCCTGATAGGAGCTGCCCCATCTCTGGTCTGGTAGCCTCTCCTTCTCTTCTGCAAGAAGGTTGCATCTCCAATGGCAGACGTGAGCCAGGACTAGGGGTGCGACACCAGACCCACTAAACCCACTGCCTGGACTTGATCCCAGCTCCTAGCAAACTTCCGTGGAGTTCCCGAGACAATACGTCCTTACGGGTAGAGACTGCCTGTCTTTTTCCCCAAAAAAGTCAGCTGCTGGTGGATTTGACCCACCAGCTCTTTGGCTAGGAACGTAACAGATAACACACTGCACCACCAGAGTGCCTTAGGGATATTACATTGTTATTGTGTGCGGTCGGGTTGGAATCGACCACAGCTGACCCTCCAGTGGTTTTCAGAGGCAGTTAATCACGTGGCTGGAGATTGCTCGTCTGCAGAACAGCTGGTGGATTCAAACTGCGTGCCTTTGGGATTGCAGTGGAGCGCGCGCGCGTGTGTGTGTGTGTGTGTGTGTGTGTGTGTGTGTGTGTGTGTGTACTTAGAAGAATCTAAGCAGGAGCAGGGGCCTAAGTGGCGGGTTCGTGCATGTGTACACAGACACCCTTTGGGGTCTACGGCTGGCCAGAGGGTGGGTGGTTATAGATAACCCCCAGGATTGTCAAAGCTTTGGCCTTTCTTGCAAAGTACCCCGTGTGGGTTCAAACCCAGTGTTTAAACATTGTTATGTGGCCACCTTCCCACTGTGGATGCCACAATAAAGAATTTCTTTATTGCTATGGAGACTTTTCTAACTTGTGGCAACCCTGTAAGCAGAGAGGGGAAGCCCCGTGGAGTCCCCAAGCCCGTCAGTCCTTACAGAAGCAAGAAGCCTTATCGTTCTCCCTGACACTAAGAACAGAGGAGAAAAAAAAGACAATCTGAGCTCGTGCGCGGACCAGGGCCAAAAGGCAGGCGGACAGGCTGCCCTGGAAGCAGTTATTCAGTGCGACCCCCAGCTGCGGGCAGAGCGTGGGCTGAGGGTCCAGCAGAGCATGGTGTTGATCCTAAGGGCTTCCTGGAGGACCAGGCAGGACACGTGCTCACTCCGGGCCAGTTCTCGTGATGGTGGCCAGACCTGGCCTCATGGCAGCCTCCCGCCCCTGCCTCCCGCAGCCCCTCCCAGAGATGGAGTACAACGGGAACCCCGAGTCGGTGGGCTACAAGGTCAAGTACAGCCGGCTGGACGGCCGCGGGAAGACGCTGAGTCATGTGATCCACGACCGTGTGGAGCGAGAGTACACCATCGAGGACCTGGAGGAGTGGACGGAATACCGCGTCCAGGTGCAGGCCTTCAACGCCATTGGCAGCGGACCCTGGAGCCAGACGGTGGTGGGCCGGACTCGGGAGTCAGGTCAGCCCCTCAGCACAGCCCCCTGATGCCCCCACAGCTCTGACGCAGCTCTGCTGTCAGGCCCACCCGAGGACATGAAAACTGGAGTTCCTTTCTCCAAAATAGCCTGACTTCCACAGTGGGGTGCGCCCTTGTGCTCTGTGCCCCCAACACCTGCAGGCCCCCTGCAGCGGGTCCTACCTCTGTGGGACACCTGGGCAGCTTCCCCTACCCAGTCTGGCCCTCCTTATCCTCATCCTTGACCATGCATAATGCCTGAAAGCCTGAGATGGGGCATCAGAACATTCTAGAAATGATGCCTTTGCTCATTGGGGTCCCCCACACGAGCCTCCCTGTACCCTCCATGCTTGTGTATTTCCCTGGCCCCTCTGCCCTAGCCGCTGTCATACTCTCATCCAGACACCAGCCTGAGTGGTGGACAGATGGGGAAGCAAACCAGAAACCAGAAACAGTGTCTACAATAACCCCAAGTCAAAGGAACCCTAGCAGGGGCGCTTGGCACTGGGCGACCACAGTGTGCTGCTTCCTCCCTAGACCAGGCGGGACCCTTCCCCACCTCCCCTCCACTTGGATCCGCTAGGACTGCTGAGTCCTCTTCGCTGCCTTCCTCCCACAGTCCCGTCCGCAGGCCCCACCAACGTGTCGGCGCTGGCCACCACCTCAAGCAGCATGCTGGTGCGCTGGAGCGAGATCCCCGAGGCTGACCGCAATGGGCTGGTGCTGGGCTACAAGGTGAGGTTCAGTGTGGACGGAGGAGGTGGGGTGCTGCCCAGCTCCCTGCTCTCCTCCTTCCCAGGTGCTGCACCCCCCTGACCCCTGGGGGCTCGGGATTCTGCCTTCTGGAGTGGACACAGAGGATCTATCCGAGGCCTCCAGCTTCTGGGCAACCAGAGAAGCCCAGGCCATTCTGCCCTGGGGTGGGGAGGTTTCTGGGGCATCCACCTTCCATGGGGTGCTTCCCTCCAGAAACCATACTAGGAGCTTGAAGCCCTGTTACCCGTTCTGATAGACCTGGGTTCCAATTCTGTTACCTTCTAGAACTCTTCTCAGAGCTACATCTGGGTCAGCCCTCCCTTGAAGCTGGAGACACGAGTTCATTTTTCCTCCATGTTTCCTGTCCGCGTGGTCTTCCACACAGCTCACCCCCTCCTGGCCCTGTCTCCCGCCAGGAGTCTCTTCCGCGCTTACTCTGAGCCCATCTGTGTATTCTGTGAATTCTCAACTGGGCAGCTACCTCCTTCTCTTGGGAGCAAGTCACTTTATAAAGACCCCCTAAAACTATAACCCTGAGGAGGTCTTTAAACCTTGAACCAAAACTATCTCCTGAAGTCATCTTTGAGCCAAACAAGAGTCTCCCCTACCTAGCAAAGAGTTCCTCCGTGAGCCCTGATGTGCTTTTAATAGAGTTGGCTCTGCTGTCAGCTGGACCACGGCTGCTAAGAGGGACAGATGAGAAGCGGAGGGTCAGCGAGTGTGCTGTTGATGGTGCTGAGGTGGTTGGGGAGAGGTGGCGGCTGAGTTGGTGGCACAGCTTGAAGAACGTAACTCATGTCACTGAGTCGTATGTGCACAAGTTGTCAAAGTGGAAGATTAGGTTGTGTCTGTTTTAACTTTGTGGGGAGTGGGGAAGCCCGAGACTGCCTGCAGAGCTGCTGAGGACAGGGCTCAGGGGACAGCACAGCGGCCAGGCTCACCTGCCTGCCTCTGCACACGTCCCTGCAGGTCATATACAAGGAGAAGGACTCGGACGCCCAACGCCGCTTCTGGCTGGTGGAAGGGAACTCTTCACGCAGCGTGCAGCTCACGGGCCTGGGCAAATACGTGCTCTACGAGGTCCAGGTGCTGGCCTTCACGCGCATCGGCGATGGCAGCCCCAGCCACCCACCCATCCTGGAGCGGACACTGGATGATGGTGAGTTCGAATCCCTCCCACTTGGGGAAGTGTAGAGCGGTCACTTAAGGGGGGTTTGACCCCACTGCAAGCAGGAACCAAGGAGGTGCCTTCAAGTCCTGCCAGCCCCCGTATGCCAAGAAGAGTTCCATGGATTCTCGTGGCTGAGACGGTCCAGAAGCAAATGGCCAGGGCTTTCTCCTGAGGCATCTCTGCGTGGGTTTGAACCGCCAACCTTCCTGCTAGTAATTGAGCGCGTAAACATTTACACCATCCGGAGACTCCAGCCCCACAGCAAGGCAGAGATGCCAGGGACAGCATGACAAGGCAGGCCGACGTGGCCTGCACTCCCACCCTCAAGCTCTTGCTCAGATAGACATTTGGCATCACTTCTGGTTTCTCTGCCACCCAGGACAGTCACTTTGAGTTAAAGGCCTGCAAAAGGTGAAGACTCCATTCTTTCTGAGTGCAAGAGCTTTCCGGTCCTGCTTACAAAAGGGAGAGGCCAGGCGGATCCCTGCACTGGTGCCTGCACCACAGCGTCCCCCACAGGCCGCCCACACATCCTCGTGCTCCCCCTTATCTCCCCAGACACGAAAGCACATGCTGCCCACCCCAGATATTTGTGGGGTCCAAGCTGGAGTGCCAAAGGAAACTCGTGAGCCATATGTCTGTGTGTTTTAAAGTTATAAATCAAGCTAATGAACTGGTAAATTAAATATGTTCTATCCTCCTGGCTTGATAAATACACCCTCGTAATGACCTGGAAAAGCCCAGTTCAGATTGAGAATTCTCAGGCTTTTTTGGCATCTGGGCCAGAGCTTGGCAACCCCGTCACTAATCCCCACTCTCTTCACACCCTCCTCTCTGTCCCCTACCGTTCAGTCTCTGTCCACACCCCCAACACAGCTCACTCCCGGGGGTGCACAGTCCACTAAAGCAGGACAGGCCCAGGGAAGAGGCCTGTCCACACCCTGGAACTGGATTTGGGCTGCCCTGGTGATGCAGTGGTAAAAGGTTTGGCTGCTATCCACAGGTTTGTAGTTCAGATCCACCAGTCGCTCCACAGATGTAGCTTTTTTAAAGGTGGTTGCTGTTGGGTGTCACACTGTCAACAACAACTCATAGTGACTCTGCAGCCTTGAAGACCCTAAGGGGCCGTTCTGTTCTGTCTTTGGGTCATTAGGTCATTGGAAATCAGAATCAACTTAATGACAATGGGTTTGGGTTTAAAGAGCAGAGAATTCCAGAATTCAGGGAGTCCATAATTAGGTCAAAAAGGAAGGGATGGTGGGTTGGGAACAGGTAGGTCCCCTCGCCTCACAGACACTTCTTCCCACAGGGTGGGACATGAGGTGTGGTGGACAGAGGGAGAGCTGGACCCTCTTCTGGGCAGACTCCTCTTGCCCAGCCCGTGCAAGGAAGCATGGTCTCATGTCATTTCTAGTCATTGCCAACTCATGCCTAGGTGAAGGGTTGAAGCCTCGCCCAATCCATCCCGAGACCCCAGCTCAGTGTCAGATATGGAGCCAGGCACAGAACGAGCCCGCTGAGCTGGTGCCCACCACTCCCTGCCTGCCAGCCGCCCTGCAGAAACCAGACCAGGAAGGGGGCTGGGCAGCAACTTCACCATCGGCCTCTCTGTCCCTCCAGTGCCCGGGCCGCCCATGGGCATCCTGTTCCCGGAGGTGAGGACCACATCAGTGCGGCTCATCTGGCAGCCCCCCGCCGCCCCCAATGGCATCATTCTCGGTAAGTCGTCGTCTCTGCCCGGATCGGCCTGAGCCCTGGCTGCAGGGGGATATACCAGGGAGGCAACGTCGGTGCTGGCAGGAGGGAGGCTAGGCCCCAGACATAGCTGTATCCTCTCAAGAGCAGGGACCATTGGTGGCCTGGTGGTAAGGAGTTCGCCTGGCAACCCAAAGATGGGTGGTTTGAATCCACCCGCTGCTCAGCAAGAGAAAGATGGACGGTCTCCTCCCGTGTGATTAACCGCCTCTGAAAACCCACTGGAGGATGAGCTCTCAGTCACCGGTACACAACAAGAAGGCCAGTGTCCAGGGCTTCTCTATTTGTAAGATATCTGCTGAGAGCCACGTCCAGGGTCGCATCCCTTCAGGACTGCTGGTTGGCGTTTTGCCCACACATGCCAGCAGGCCATCTGGGATGCCCCTGTTGATCTTCCTAAGTGTGGTCAAAAGAGGGCATGCTGGCCAGCTCAGCACAGCCGGCTGCTGGGAACAGAGCCAGAGGCATGGGGAGGGGGACTCTGCCGATGCAAAGCAGTATTTCATAGTAAAAAGTCACGTGTACACAACACACATGCGCACACAGAGATGTATGCGCACATGCACAAACTGCCTGTACAGACACAAACACGTGTGTACACATATATTCATGACTTTACTCACACAAACCCCCCATCAGCATGCATACATGTGGACATATATATGCATAGCACACACATGCACATACCCCAGCATCATTCATACATGTACACAGATATACACACACACATGCACACACCTCCAGCAGCATGCATACATGTATACACATGCACACACCTCCAGCAGCATGCATACATGTATACACATGCACACACCTCCAGCAGCATGCATACACGTACACACAGACACACACACATGCACACACTCCCAGCAGCATGCATATACATGTACACACACGCATGCACACACACCCCAGCAGAATACCAAGAGGAGATGTACATGGTTTCAATCTGATCGAGAAGTCTTCCCCTGGTGGCCTTACCCCCACCCACAGGCTGGTGGGGCTGGACTGCCTTCCTCCAGGACGGCCGTGCTGTGTCCTGCAGTGGCTCCTGGAGCGTCCCCCTGTGTGCTCCTCTCTGAGGGCGGGGTAGGGAAGAGGAGCCGTGAACTGGAATCTAGCACAGCCAGCGGTCAGTAAAGGCATCTGGCCTCCCCTGGTCTCCGTTTCCTCACCTGAAGCTGTGAGGGGTTCAGAGGCCCTCTGTGTGTGGTACCTGACTGCATCCTGCAAGTCCATCCTGCACAAGTGGCCCAGAGGGCTCCAGGCAGCACTGGCCTGGTCACATGGTTCAGGAATGATGTCCCAGACCCTTTCTGAGGCTCGGAGGGCAGCTTGCCCTGCTGCTCAGTACCGCCTGTGTCCTTCCTCCCTGCAGCTTACCAGATCACACACCGGCTCAACGCCACCACAGCCAGCGCCGCCTCCGTGGAGGTCCTGGCCCCCAGCGCCCGCCAGTACACGGCCACTGGCCTCAAGCCCGAGGCCGTCTACCTGTTTCGCATCACGGCCCAGACCCGCAAGGGCTGGGGAGAGGCAGCTGAAGCTTTGGTGGTGACCACGGAGAAGAGAGGTAACCGCCCCCGGGGTGCTAAGGGGCAGCAGAGAGAACACCCTAGCCCACTCACGCACTCAGAGACTCTGGGCGTGGACAGCTGGGCTTCAGCTAGTTATGAGGTCTGGAGTGGACACCATGCTCAAGTCATAAAAGTCAGGATTAGCGAAGAGTCCCGTGGCATTTCCAGAGCTGAGCTGAGGTTCCCTTGGGCTCCCCTCTCCGAGACTAGCTGTCCTCCACATGGACAAGAGAGAGGTTACCTTCATTTTCCCACTTTGCCATCCTGCTAATTACTCTGTCCAGTTGGCCGGGGGATCCAGACCCCTGGCTGCCCCAAGCTGCCAGCTAACTTGAGGCTAGGCTTCCCCAAAGCAGGCCTGAGATTCAGATTTGCCTGAAAGACATTTATTAGAAAGTAAGAAAGTGCTTCTCAGAAAAAACAGCCCGTGACGCGTGGTTGTCAAAGCGTCTGTCCCCCAGCAGTACTTAACAAGGTGTAGAGATATTGTTTCAAGTTTCACAACTTGGGGATTGACTACTGACATCTAGGGGTGCAGGCCAGGCATGCTTGTCGGCCAGCACCTTACTGTGCACGGGGCAGCTCCCACTGCAGAGAGGACCCCTGGCCACATGTCACAGTGCTGTACACAGCTGGTAGCCTCGGGGAAGCTGGGGAGGGCAGATTCTGAGAGAGGACAAGGTACGAGATGAGTCCCAGGGCAGGAAACGCAGTCACATCTGCTCAGTTAGATTGTAGCTCCCTGTAGGGACATGACAGCAGCTGCGTGTCTGTGTCTTCTTGGTCACGGGCTGCCCTCTCAGGCACCTGGGCCTCAGCAGGACCCACGTGCATGCCACCTGGGTGGGGAGCTGGGCTTAAACCCACGTACCCTCAATGCGTTGGCCCAGCACACAGCCTGGCCCCCACTGCTGCTTCACCTGTGCCCTCTGCCCACCCGCAGACCGCCCGCAGCCTCCCAGCAAGCCGGTGGTCCAGCAGGAGGACGTGAAGGCGCGCAGCGTGCTGCTGTCCTGGGAGCCGGGCAGCGACGGGCTGTCCCCTGTCCGCTACTACACCGTGCAGATGCGCGAGCTGCCCAGCGGCCGGTGGGCGTTGCACTCGGCCTCCGTCAACCACAACGCCTCCTCCTTCGTCGTGGACAAGTGAGGCATCTCCCCACCACTCCACCACACACACACCCAAGCCTGGTGGTCCCCCGGGGGTGGTCCCTTGGGGAAGACACTGCTGACCTGGGTTCCCCACACCGTCTCCCTCTCTGCATTGCCCTGTAGCCCGCCCTGGTCCTTGCGAGTCTCCTTGGGGTCACTCAGCCAACCTCCCTCTCGCCCTCTCCTCTCTCAGCCTTGCATCATCCAGGAACCCACCAGCCCTCTCATGCCGTGCAGCTCTACCCGGATCCGTCAATCTCTCTCTCCTTTCCTCTCTTCTCCTTCCCTCTCTTCTCCTTCCCTCTGTCTCTTCCTCCCCATCTGTCCCTCCCTCTCCCTCCCTTTTTCTCCTCCCTTCTCCCCTTTTTTCTCCATCCTTAGCTCTCTCGCCCCCAGCATCACCCAGGCCTGCCCATCCTTACAGCTCTTCCCAGTCAGCCTTCCTCCTCTCCTTCGTCCCTCTCTCCCTGGTCTTCTCCTTCCCTTTGCCCCCTGACTCACTTTTGTCACCTCTCTTATCTCACCCTCTTCCTCTTCCATCCACTTTCCCTCTGCCTCTCTTCCTCCCTCTTCTCCTTCTCTCCTTTTCTCTCCCAGCTTCTCTGTTCCTCTCTCCCTCTGTCCCTGTCCTCCCTACACCCTCTCTCCTCCTCTCTCCTCCTCTCTCCTCTCTCTTCCTCTCCTTCCCCTCACCCTCCTTCTCCCCTGAGCTCAGCATCCCCTGGGGGCCTCCCAGTCCATTCTCCCACCCACCCCAGCTCCAGCTCTGTCCTCCACTCCTTCCTCCCTCTCCCCACCCCATCCTCCCTCCACTCATCTCCAGAGACTCTCTTAGGATTGCCTCTTAATTATCTATTTCTGGAGCCCACATCCCCCTTCAGAGAAGTGCTCACAGCCTTCATTAAGGAGTCTTCTCAGCCAGGCAGCGTCTTTCTCTCCAGCTTTAACAGGGGAGTTTAACAGGCTTCGTACCACACTTCAGCCTCTCCTTTCAATCCTGGGAGACAGTATTCTTCACATTCCAGAAGTTTTGCGCTCTCCTCCCCTCCTCCCCCATTAAAAGGAAGACATTTTCTGAGGGAGGAAACGTAAACGGGTTAATTCAGGAAGACACAACCCTTCCTCAATTCTAGAACGTTTAGGACTGGAGGACAGAGTGAGCAGATGAGTGAGATTCTGATGGTTGTGGCCACGTGGTCCCCCAGGCTGCAAATATCTGACCACTTCTTGTTAGGGACCCCTCAGTGCTGGAGCCAAGAAGGACGCCATGTCCCACGCTGGCCTGGGGGTTTGGGCAGCTGGACACTCAGAACCTCTGGGATCTGCCCATTTGTCCCTTGGTAGAAGAGCTCTCTAGGAGTTTCTGTGCCCCTGTCCGTTGGTGGGCAGCACCCCCTGCCCCCAGGATAGCTGAGGTTGGAGATGGCTCTTGTTCACGGAACCACATCCTCCCCCAGGCTCAAGCCCTTCACATCCTACAAGTTCCGGGTGAAAGCAACCAATGACATTGGGGACAGTGAGTTCAGTGAGGAATCGGAATCGCTGACCACACTTCAGGCAGGTTAGTGCCCCCGCCACACTCCGGGTCTCTTCGTCTTAGTTCCAGGGGGTTTTCTGGAGACTGGTGCTCTCTGTTGGGGACAGTCTCCAGAAAGGGAGGGACACTGGGCCTGCAGGAACCCTCATATGGACCCCAGAGCCGAGACCTAGAAAGGTGTTGGGACAGAGGGGCAATGACCCCCCCATTCCATGTCATTCCTTCTCTGATGTCCCGCAAGCTCTGAGAGCCTGTGAATGGGCAGACGTGGTGTTGGTGAGGTGGGTGAGGTGGTGGTGTCAGAGGGGAGATTCAGGGGCAGCAGCCAGAGAAGCCTGGGCTCAGGGCGGAGTGGGGGTACTTTGGAGGCACCATTGCACCCTTGGTCCCCAGGCCTTTCTCCTCCACGTGTACCCTTTGTGCAACAGAGGTTAAGTCCTAGGAGTGAGGGAAGGGAACTTGCCAGGACCTACTCTGTAGTTTTGTATTACATGATCAGTTCCCGTGGGCTCTCGAGTCCTGAGTTCACCTGTCCACTCTCTCCCCAGCCCCTGACGAAGCTCCCACCATCCTCTCTGTGACACCTCACACCACCACGTCCGTGCTGATCCGCTGGCAGGTACGCTGGGCAGGAGGGAGGATGTGTCCCAGTCTGTGTCTTCCCTTTTTACCCTGTTGGAGAAGTTTCTGGATGCGCATAGGGATTTGATTCTTAGAAGGTCCCATTCATCTATTTTATCTTCTCCTGGTTGTAGATTTTTCAGGATGCTTGGAAGACTGTTTATGTTCTGGATTAGGACTACTAGAGTTCTTCCAAGCTTTTCTTTAATGAAGTTTATAGTCCTTGGTTTTAGTCCTAGGTCCATGATCCACCTAGAGTTGGTTTTTGTGTATGGAGTGAGCTGTGGAGGGAGGATGTGTCTTGAGGTGACAGATAAGCCCTTTGCTGGACCAGAAACCCACAGCCAGGCCAGGGGTCTCCACCACCACCCTGTCCAGCCTCAGGTATACAGGAAGGAGTATACAGGTATACAGGGAGAAATCCTGGTGGGTTTGCAGTCTAGCCGCACACACACCTCTGCACACATTTACATCTGTGTGTACATGTGTGCACACGTGTAAATACATACATGCACATGCATGCCTGCATGCTCACACCCATATATATGCACACACCCACACACCATCCGATTCTCCTCACAATCCAGACTGGTGCTGTCGGCTGTCAACACCCAGTTCTACAGATGAAGACAGAGGTCAGAATTGGGGGTGGTGATGAGGTAACGAATAGTCCCTCTTCACACACTAGGACTTGGGAAGGCCAGACCATTGTCAGAGGCTCTGAACACTTAGAAAGAAAAGTGCTGGAGCTTTCAGAGCCTAGGTTCCGAGAAGGGCCTCCTGGAGAGACACTGGACCCAGGTGTATGTGTCTGCAGCGTGCCTGTCCACAAGGTCAGGAACCTCCACCCCCTTTGGGAGAGGACAGAGGTGGACCCAGCCAGGCCAGGCTTTCCTGCCCAGGACTGACCCGCCTTGCCTTCCAAGTCCAGCCTCTAGACTTAGTAGGTCAGCACTAGAGGACAGAGCCCCCCCTTAGGATCAAAGGGACAGGTGCCAGCCTTTGCCTGGCTGCACCTCACCAAAGGAAGCACTTGAAGAGAAAATAGGAGGGGCCCCCACCCTCACCCAGCCAGAAGCACACAACTTCCCCCACCCCCAGGAGGACAGCCTTATGTGAAAATGGCTGCAGCAGATCAGGACCAACACGCCAGAGGGGACAGAGAGGCGCCGGCAGCTGCCAGAGACGCAATTAAAGAGCTCATAAAAGGCTGAACCCTCTCAGCAGGCTGTTTAAAAGAGGTGTCATAAAAAGTCGTTTCCACCTCTCCCAAAGCCTGTTCTCCAACTCAGCTGTGCAGGGAAACCAAAGCAAAAGAGAAGGGTGTGTGTTGTGGGTGGGTGAAGCACAGCCCACAGGAACGCCAAGAAAATATCTGGGTGATGAGAGGCATGGAGGTGGCCAGCAGGAGGCTGCTGACCGCCTACACCAGGAGCATCTTAGCAAACAGCTGCAGATCGAGTCACTCTCCCAGCATCACAGTGCCCTGGGATCTTGGACCAGTTCTGGGCATCTCTGAGCCTCAGTTTGCTGCCTTGTTAAATGGGGCTCCATGATGGCTCCTGCCCTGCTTAGCTTCACAGGGAATGCTAATAGTGATGGCATAATCTCGCTGGGCACATGCTTGGGGAAATAGACATTTGCAGGGTTACTTTTATGTCTTTCCCTGAGTTCTGACGCCTGGGAGAGGAAGGGCTGGTGGGCGGGTCGGGGCGTGGTCATCCGAGCCACGCCTCATGTCACGCCCCCTCCACGCCCCCTGCAGCCGCCCTCGGAGGACAGGATCAATGGCATCCTCCTGGGCTTCCGGATCCGGTACCGCGAGCTGATCTATGACGGGCTGAGAGGCTTCACGTTGCGCGGGATCCACAACCCGGGCGCCAAGTGGGCGGAGCTCACCTGTGAGTGACAGGGGCGGGTGGGCACGTCCCTAAGCTCGGCCACGCCCCCTGCGCTCAGCCACGCCCCCGTGTTCTGTCACGCCCCCTGCGCTCGGCCCCGCCCCCTGCGCTCGGCCCCGCCCCGCCCTCCTCCATCCATTCTTTCCTGAAATTTTGCTCCCAGCTCCTGGAATGCTCTAACCTGAAACCCTTTCTCTTCCTCCCCTGGTGTGTGCCTCTGTCCCCTGCCTCCTTCACGCACCTATTTACCAAGCACCTTCTGAAGATCCCAGACACTGGGGACACAGCGGTGACCAAGGCAGCCCAAGGTGACCAAGACAGTCTGTCCTCTGATTGCTTCCTGGTTAAGGAAGAGCCAGACGTTGAAGAAATTAACTCTCAAAAAGACAAATAAGAACAGCTATTGTGTCATCGTGGAGATGAGTGTTGATGCCAGGATAGTGTTCCCTTCCGATGGCACTAAAGGCACGTGCTAGCCTTGAAGTAGGACCCTGGAGGGCACAAATTATTTGCTCCCAGCTGCTAGCCAGGTGAACCCACCCTGAAGCACTGCAGGAGAAAGGCCTGGCAATTTGCTTCCGTAAAAATGAGAATAAACCCTGGCCATTGGGTCAGTTCTGACGCATACCGTCATCCTGTCAGGGGTCTAAGGCTGTCACTTTATGAAAGCAGACTGGCCACCAGTTTATCCTGCAGAGCTGCTGGTGGGTTCCGACCACTGACCCTCCCACCCAGCTGCTTTAACTGCTGTGCCACGAGGTATCCTCCATCAATATTCACCGTCCCTAAAAAAAAACCCCATGGCCGCTGTTAGTTCCAATTCATCACGACCCTGTGTAAGACAGTGGAATTGCCCCGTAGGTTCCTAAGGAGTTTCTACAGGAGGCCCACTGCTGTCTTTCTCCCATAGAGTAGCTTGTGGGTTTGAACTGCCAACGTTTCAGTTAGCAGTCCCGACATTTAACCCACTACACCACCAGGTCCCAGGGGAGCAGCTCTGCTCTGTCCCAGGTGCATTTGCTATGAATCAGAATGCACTCCCCAGCAATGAGTTTGGTCCTGGTAACCCTGAAGGATTCCTGTTTACTCAGCCAGGAAGAAGGTCCTAGCATGTGCAAAGGGCCTGTGGTGGGAAGGTGTAGGGCTTTCAAAGCCTCCAAATCCCTCCCCAGTCATATCCTGAGAGCAGCAGTCCTTGGGAAGGTCACTACCCTCCCTGGCCCTCGGAATCCAGCCCACCTCTGTGGTGGCAGGAACAGAACAGGAATTCAGGGAGAAATCCCAGGGCGCAAAGATGCCCAAGAAGGATTTAAGACACAGGAGTAACACGGATGGACTTTTGTTTTAGGGACGGTCACTTTGCTGGCCGTAAGAGAGAATGACTTGGCCATGGGTGGGAGGCCCGTGGCAGAGGGGCCAGGTGGAGGTCGTTGCAGTAATGCAGAGAGAGGTGTGAAGCTGGATGCAAGTGACAGGACTGCAGTGGAACTGAGATGCCCGTGCAAGAGATGATGTATTATGGGCGGTGACTCCCCCAAGCTCTGTGATTGGTTCTGGGGGGAAAAGAAAAGGGAGGAGACCGAGATGACATGGGTGCTGGGTGTGTGATGGGAGCAGGGAGGCGGGCCGCCTTAGGGGCCTCTCAATTTTTATTTTTCCTCCCATCATTCTTTTAAACCTTTTGCTCCGTGTCTGCTCAAGAGTGTTGGCAGACAACCACATGATTGAATGCAGAGCCAAAGGAATATTAATAGAAAAACTCAAGAGTCGCTGATCCAACAGCTTGCATGGGTGTTTTTTTTCCAGACGTGTACTTGTGGTTGTGATTTTATATGGTCTGTGTATAATACAGTCATATTTCCTGGTAGTAAAATTGTTTCTGGTTCATATGAGAAAATTAATGACACTAGTATTTCATGGTGGTTATCCAGGAAAAGCCTTTAAACAAGGGAGGGGGTGAGAGAGAGCCACAACACCCCAGCCCGCTCTGGGACTCTGGACTCCAGGAAGTCGAGTTGCCCTTGGTCTCTGCCTGTTGTGACCCTGCCTCCTTTCCACGCCCATCCTCTGGCTCCTAACTCAGACCGGACTCTAGAACTTCTCCCATCCCCTCTGCCTGTTTGCATCCAGCCTGCGCCTCTCTCCCACCCCTCCCCTCGCTGGTGTCTTGTGTGTCCATTGTTGTCTGTACACACTAACCTCCTCTGTCTGTCTCCTTCTGACCCCCCACAACCTCCCCCGTCCCCTAGCCATGTACGCTACAAGGAACCTGAGCCGGCCCAGCCTCACACAGTACGAGCTGGACAGTAAGTCTCCCTGAGTGGGGCTCCTGCCATGGCCCAGGCCTCCCACCGTTTGCTGCTGCATTGGGGTGGGGATGGGGAGCAGGCCCTCCAACGGTTATGCCCACCCCCAGGGGACTTGAAGGATGGACTCAGGTGCATGACTTTCCCCAAATCACAAAGGGGGAGGGGGCTACCAGGAAGTCTGCAAGTCTGCAACTCAGTGCACGTGTTGTATAGCCATCTTCCATCTGTCGCTGTTGCTAGGATACGGAATAGGGTTTAGTGATGCTGACAGACTAAGATGACAAATGAGGAAGAAAGGCCTGGTGATCCCGTTTCCAGGAATCAGCCATTGGAGACCCAAGAGAGCACAGTGGTCTGACCTGGAGGTGGTAATGGGCCAGACAGTGTTCTCTTCCAGTGTGTGGGGGGTCACCAGGAGTCAGGAGGCCAATTGGACAAGACTTGTGCTGCCGTGGGCCAGGAGAGGCACAGTGACAGTGGCCGTAGTCAGCTGCTGGACCCTGCCAGTGGGGTGACCAGACTTCACACTGCCCCTTCTCTTTTCAGCACACCTAACTTTTCAGCCTGGGACCCACATGGATCTGTCGGGATAACAGTTTTCCTTATCAGCCAAGGAAACAGCTCCCAAACCCTGGTCCATTCCCTATAAAGTCCCAGCCATGGTACTTCTGGAGGTCCAGACCCTCGGACAAGAGAGTCCCGCATTTAGTAGGGAAAAACCTCACTGGAGACCCCAATGCCCAGCCCTCTCCGTCAACCAATGCTCTCTGCTTCGATGGCTAAGTTAGGATGACTCCCCATTCATACTGGAGGACTGGAACTTCTTCCCCTGGCTCTCCAGGAAAGGGGATGGGAACCAGCGTGGGAAAGACCCTCGCCACCCAGCAGGGACGCCCTTGCTCCCTGGGGTACTTGAGCCCCTTTTCCTGGAATTACCTATCTCTCTCCCAGTTGTTCTGGGGCCTCTCCCTTAGCACCCCAAACCTGCAAACATCTTGGGGTTCCCTTAGCACACACAATACTCAGGCCTGTGTGCAGGGCTGCCTGCTGAGGGCTGGGAGGGCTGGACCTGGAAAGTGTTAAGCATCAGTCATCGGGACTCAGAGGACAAGCAGAGACGGAGTGACCCCATGTGCACAGCACAGCTTGGGATCCCACCTGTGGTCCCAGCATCAATATATAAGAAGTGCCCCCTTTTAGTCTTAAACTGCCCCAGTCTGGACAGGAAGATTGTCACCCTTGGCCATGAGGCTAATCAGTTGTCTGTTTTCTTAATGGCCAAGGTCCAGCCTCTCGCCTGTTTCTTCCAGAACCTTCATACAAGGGTCTAGGGTGCTTTGTCCTTCTCTCCACAGCATGGGGAGCCCCACCCTCAGTGGTCCACCTGGTCTCCCCCAGGAGGATGACCTCTAAGTGCTTCCCTCCCAACCCCTCTCGCCCCCAGATCTGAACAAGCACAAGCGTTATGAAATCCGCATGAGTGTGTACAACGCTGTGGGCGAGGGGCCCTCCAGCCCACCCCAGGAGGTCTTCGTTGGAGAGGCAGGTGAGCGCAGCTGCCAGCCCCCGCCCCACACCCACTTCTCCTCCACAGGTGGGGGGCTGGGGGGCTCCCGACCCTCCCCGCTTCAGTTCTCCCTGCCCCTGAATCCACCAGCACACACTCACGCCCTCCTCCCCTCAGTGCCGACTGCTGCACCCCTCAACGTTGCCGTCCACGGCGCCACAGCCACGCAGCTGGATGTGACCTGGGAGCCGCCCCCACTGGAGAGCCAGAACGGAGACATCCAGGGTTACAAGGTAGGGGTGTGCTATGCAGAGAGATGAGGCCAAGAGGGTGGAGTGGACCTCCCGTGGTGAGGGTAGGAGCCCAGCTCCTTCCTTCTCCCAGCTGGCCTCACACCCTTGGGGCTGTGGTCAGCATGCCCTGCTGTGACTGGCTGGTCTTGTCAGTTCTCTAGGGCTGCAATAACAGAGACGCCACAAGGGGGTGACTCCAGCAAACAAATGTTCTCTTACCGTTCAGAAGGCTAGAAGTCCAAACCTCAGGTGCTGACTCTCAGGGAAGACTCACTCTCTGTTGGGGAGGAAAATCCTTTTTTCCTTCTGCGTCTGTAGGCCTGCCATTTCCAGGAGATTTCCATGTGGCTTGACCTTCCTAATGTCAAAGGACTAAGGACTTCCCTTCACAGGGGCCAGTCCTGGACGTGACACTCAGGTCCCCGACATCACCTCACAGGGGCCTGCCACTCCAGTCCTGGAGGTGGCACTCAGGTCCCCCCACTCTACTTGGCTTTTCTCTCCTTTTATGTCTAATGAAGTAAAAAAGTTACAGGCCGCACACTCCAGGGAAATTCCTCTTGTGTCAGATCAGGGCTGGTGGCTTTGCCCCATATCCTTAATCCTTCTTTAGCTATTTGGGTTCTCAGCTCCTGAGGCTTGTTGCCTGTGTGTATTCTGGGGGAGACACATTTTCATTCATGACAGCATGCAAACCACAGATGCCTTGAACCATTGCAGTAAAGCCACGGTCTCCTCTCCAGCGTCCTAAGGACTGACGGAGACCAAATACAAGAAACTCGGGCCAAGCAGAGCTTTGCAACGTTACTGAGTGGGAGACCCTGCGTCCCTGCCAACCTCCACCCCTAATATGAGACCCCTCGGGGTGGTCTTTGGAGGACTCAGCCCTGGCAGTGACGTGTGGAGTGTATCAATCCACTAACTGCAGGATTAGTGATTAGACTCCTAGAATAAAAATGAGAAGTCACATCTGTCAAGATTGACAGCCTCAGAAACTGGATTGAGGGTCGCTGGGAGGCAGAATGGACTTGACAGGCAGTGGGGCTTGGGGTTTACATTTCTGTTGTTTTTGTTTGGTTTTAGTTTAGTGTTTAGTATTAGTTTATTTTTAAATTTTATATTTCTTCTTAAATTTTATTTATT